CCCGGCGACCATCAGCTCTGTGCTCATCCAGGAGGAAGACGACATCCAACATGCCATCTTCTACGTTAGCAAGACCCTAAGGGAGGCCGAGCTCAAGTACTCCCCTGTGGAAAAAAAGGTGTTAGCCATCGTTTGGACTGTCAAGAAGTTGGGCCACTACTTTCAGGCTCACCCGGTTCAGGTCCTCACCCATCAACCCCTCGGCGCCCTCATGAGGAGCCGCACCAGCTCCTCCCGCATGGTGAAATGGGCTATCTTCTTGAGCCAGTACAACATTGACATCCGTCCAAGGCCTGCCATCAAGGGCCAAGCCCTGGCGGACTTTGTGACGGAATGTACCGCAAGGGCAGCCACGGACGGGGAGCCCTCGGCTACCTCGGACGACTGGTGGACCCTCTACACTGATGGCTCCTCCGCGACCAAAGCATGCGGGGGAGGGGTAGTCCTCATTACTCCCGAGGGCTTCAGGGCCTACTATGCAATCCGCTTCTCCTTCAAGGTCTCCAACAATGAGGCCGAATATGAGGCCCTCCTATGTGGCCTTCGGCTGGCTGCCAACATGAGGGCTCAGCAGATCCACATCAAATGCGACTCCAAGTTGGTCGTTGGCCAAATCTCCGAAGAATATGAGGCCAAGGAGGGGAGAATGAAACAGTACAAGGAAGCGGCCAAGGAGTTGCATAAGGTATTTGAGTCACACTCTCTCACTCAAATACCGAGGGCTCAGAACTCCGAGGCCGACATATTATCTAAGCTCTCGGCCGACTCCCCCGAGCACATCTCCAAAATTGCCAAAATCGAGGAACTCAGCCTCTCAAGCATCCATGAAAGCCCTTTATAAACATACAACAACGTCAGGAGTATTGGATCTCAGATATCACCGCCTTCATCTCCACAGGGCAGCTACCCGAGAATGAGGCCCGCGCTAAACTGGCAAATCTGAGGGCCCCCAGCTACACCATCGAAGATGGAAGGCTCTACAAACGATCTTACAATGGCACGCTACTTCGGTGCCTTCATCCAGATGAAGCCGAGGTCGCAATGGAGGAAGTGCACAGTGGCACTTGCTCAGCTCACCAAGGACCCTTCTCCATGTCCCGAAGGCTCATTCTCCAGGGCTACTTCTGGCCAACCATGGCCAGGGATTGTGCTGACCTTGCCCAGAGGTGCACCGCATGTCAACATTTCCAGAAAGCTCCCGGCAGGCCAGCGGTCAACTATGCCCCCATCAGCACCTCTGTCCCATTTTCTCGATGGGGGATAGACCTTGTGGGCCCTCTGCCGAGGGGTACCTCCAACAACAGATACATCATTGTGGCCGTCGACTATTTTACCAAGTGGGTGGAGGCTTAACCCCTCGCCAGCATCACAGAGGCGAAGTGCCGTCACTTCGTCCTCAAGAACATCCTCACAAGGTTTGGCGTCCCCCAGCAGATCATCTCCGACAATGGGACACAATTTGAGGCAGCCCCCTTCTGTGCCCTTCTGGAGGCATGGGGCATCAAACACACCTTCTCCTCCGTTGCCTACCCTCAAGGCAACGGGCAAGTAGAGAACGCCAACCGGACCTTGCTCGAGGGCCTCAAAAAGAAGCTGGAGGCCGAGGGTGGTGGCTGGGTGGAAGAACTCCACAACATCCTTTGGGCCTATCGCACCACCCCTCGGCGAGCAACAGGTGAAACACCTTTCTCCCTCTGCTACGGTTTTGAAGCCAAAGCTCCCACGGAAGTCACCCTTCCCACCCGAAGGGTGATCCAATATGACCCCGAGGTCAACGACAGCAACATGGCCCTCGACCTCCACCTCATTTCAGAACGCCGGGAGCAGGCCTTCATCCGGGCAGAAAACTACCGAAGGCAAGTTAAAAGCTACATCGACGCCAAAGTTCGCACCCGAGAATTTCAAGTGGGGGACTATGTCCTCCGGAGGAGGGAAGCCAGCCAACCAACCGAGGGAGGAAAAATGGCACCAAAATTCGAAGGCCCCTACATCATAGCAGCCATCATCAAACCTGGGACCTACAAGCTCAAACGCCCCAACGGGAAAGAAGTCCCTAGGCATTGGAATGTACACCATTTAGTTAAGTTTTATCAATAATGTAAGAGCGGCCAAGCCCTCATAACTAGTGAATGTACTATCCTATGGCCCAAGGCCTCCAATTTCGAAGAATGAAGATAAATTCAAGACATCATCCCCCCATACTGACTACAGGCCCCAGGCCTCACCACGAGAAGAACCCCCTCCGGCACCGAGTGCCAAGGACGGACACCATCAACACCTGCAACAACAGTGAAAACACCACGGGTTTTTTTCTCAAGACCCCTCGGTACCAAGTACCGAGGGAGGGAACTCCTATCCCCAACAACAAAGAACGCCATGTAATTCATTTCCCTTCGGCACCCAGTGCCGAGGGTACATCCCCACCTTCAACATCAAAAAAGAAAAGATGAGAACACCAAGTGTTCCTACAGAAGACCCTTCGGCACCCAGTGCCGAGGGTACACCTCCATCATCAAACATCATCAAAGAAGACCCCTCGGCACCCAGTGCCAGGGATATGCTCTCCTATCAACTTCCAAACATCTGTTGGGAAACAGCAAGTGTTTCATTTGAAGACCCTTCGGTACAAAGTACCGAGGGTAGACGCCTACATCAACTACGACAAAAGAGAACACCAAGTGTTCCTACAAAAGACCCCTCGGTACCAAGTACCGGGGGCTACACATCGAAACTAACACCAAGTGTTGTTTCTAAAAGCCGTACCCCATGAGGACGCATATACCGAAGGCGCCACCATCGGTGCCGGCGGCACGTAGTGCCCCGGCCATTTGCAACTAGTGTGCAAATGAAAACCCTTCCTTGAAACGCTTTCCGCGTCACTACCCCCAGGGTATGACAGGCATGAGAAATGCCCAGGATTCGACTTTCAAAAACGGAACGCTATCCGCGTCACTACCCCCAGGGTATGACAGGCATGAGAAATGCCCAGGATTCGACTTCCAAACCGAAACGCTCCCCGCGCCATCGCCCCAAGGGTGTGGCAGGCCACGGACTATGTCTAGCGCCGAGGGGACGACTTTCAAAAATGAGGCGCTTTCCGCGCCATCCCCCAAGGGGAGGCAGGTTACGGACCACCATATCTTGTGCCCAGGAAACGTCCCTCGATCCCCTCGGAACTCGGAAGGTTAACCCGAGGGAGGAGAGCCATTGGTGTATTCTGATGGTCTCCTAATAGGCCCAGCCTTACCAAGAAACCAAGTTTCTTGATGCCTTCCCTTCACAACCAACAAAAAAAAAGGAGGGGGGGGTGAAGGGGAGTAGACTCAGCGAGAAATCAAAGAGTACACTCCAACAGATCACAACAAGCCGAGGGCTCCCCACGGGAACACCTCCGGTAACTGAAGGCTCCTATGTCCCGAAGGATACTACTCAAACAAATATCATCAGGAAACGGCTAAGTCCACTGCCTGGTCACCTCCGGTCACACAGGCACCGAAGGCTCCAGCAAGGGTCGAAATCTACACCTTTTAAAAATTATGCCGAGGGCACACACTCATCGTTGGCATTCTTCACAACAACAGGTTCCCACACATATTTGGCCCTCGGCCAGAGACTCATACAACACAAGGGATCTAAATCCGGAAGCTCAACACCAATTTACGCTTAGAAAATATTCTAAGTCCTAAATTAGTAGCCCCCAGGCATCTCGCAAAGTAATGCAGAGTCAGATGGCACCTATCACCCGAAGGCTACACAAAGAAACAACACTTGAAAAAATTCCAAGTCCTAAAATTGGCCCCCCGGCTCAATCAGCATTACAGCCAGGGGAATACAATAGCCGAAGGCTATGCGATACAACAACACTTGCAAACAAAAAAAATTCTATGTCCTAAAGATGGGCCCCCGGCTCAGTCAGTATTGCAACTAGAGGAATATGACAGTCGAAGGCCATTCATCAAGAAGGGATGCCATCTCCCGAAGGCTCCCAAGGGAAAATCCACACTTAGAATGTTTTCTAAGTCCTACATGCTTTTCCCCGGTCAACTACTCATACATCAAGGAGGGATGCCATCTCCCGAAGGCTCCCAAGGGAGATTTTACACTTAGAATATTTTCTAAGTCCTGCATATTTTTCCCCCCGGTCAGCTACTCATACATCATGGAGGGATGACACCTCCCGAAGGCTCCCAAGGGAAACTCTACACTTAGAAGATTTTCTAAGTCCTACATATTTCACCCTCATCTCAAGGGACCTAATTGCCGAAGGCTACCTATCAATCGAGGGCTACAGTACACAAGGAATCAACACTCAAGAAAATTTTCTAAGTCCTAAAGAATTGGCCCCCGGTCTATTCAATATTTCAGTTGGGGCTCCACAGTAGCCGAAGGCTACATGACATACTACACTTGCAAAAAATCTCTAAGTCCTGTGCATTGGGCCCTCGGTCCAACATTCACACATCACGAAGGGATGCCATATCCCGAAGGCTCTCAAGGGGAAATCTACATTTAGAAATTTTTCTAAGTCCTAGGATTTGGGTTACTGCAAACACCCGAAGGCCCTATGGTGTGCTACACTTAGAAAAATTTTCTAAGTCCTAATTGCTGCTGAACCCTCGGTTGCATATCCAGCAGAGGGTGCCCAACTACCGAAGGCTTCCAAGGGCAAGCTACAATCGAATAATATTCTAAGTCCTAGACATACATTCAAAAATACCGAAGGCATACACTTAAGGAAAACGGAGGCATACATTCAAGAAGAAAGGAATTGGAGAAAACAATTCATATATACAAAGCCCGAAGGCAATCATTCAATTACAACAAAAAGGAGTCAATGTAATCGTTACAGACAGGCCGAAGCCGAAGGATCAAAGGTGTCCGTTACAACAGAAGTTTTAAATATTAACTAAGTACAAACTTTCTCTGCGGCTTCAGCATCGTTATCTCCGGGGGCATCTTCCACGGCAGCTTTGGAGGAGACTTCTTCCCCGGCAGCATCACCTCCGACGGCTCCGCCCCCATCACTCCCCATCATCACGGAATCATATATCGTCGGCCGCTCTTCGCCCGGGGGGAGGGGAACTCTCACGTCTGGTTGCAATGGGGGGAGGCCGTATGCCGAGGGGTCGAATTGATCAAGGGATACGCCGAAGTGCCTGGCGAGCCTCCGGTAAATCAAATGCTGGGTAAAAAACTCACCCCCCTGATAGTAGGCGTCGCCCCTATCCGTCAGCCAGTCAACCCCGGGGCCTTTTACCCAAGCATCCACCGAGGCCGCCACCACGGAGGCCACCCACTCCTTATGGCCCTCGGTCCTCCAGCCCTCAGCAAGAAACTCAGCAACTGCCTCCCCTCGGGCCTTGGCCACAGCTCCCTCCTGGGCGGTTTTGGCCTCATCGGCAGCTTTCTTCGCCGCCTCGGCAGCAACCCTCTCGGCCTCAGCCTTGCCTTCGGCTATGCCGTCAGCTTTGGCCTTCTCCGCCGCCGCCATCGCCTCCCGGAGGGCCTCCTCCAGCTGTGCAGCATGCTTCACCGCCTCGGAGTTCTTGCGGATCAGCCCCTCCACCTTCTTATCTTGGGCGGCCTCGTGAAGGCGCCTTTCTTCGCGCCTCCGGGCCTGTTCCCCGAGGGCTATGCAGGCCTGCAAACAACGATCAAAGGAGTTAGATTATTCCACAGGGAAAAATAATACTAAACTGATAAGATAAGGGAAAAGGAAGCAGATACTTACAGTGAGAGAGGACCGGAGGATCCTGTTCTCTAAGGCATCATCATCGTAGGTCTCGAAGACTTCCCTGTCCATCTTCGAGGTGATGCCCCGCAGGAAGGCCCTCGGCTCGGCAGTGCCGTGCATCAGGGAAGCGCCGGGGGCAAAGGAGAGCTGACGGATCTCCCGAGGTAATTCCTCCGGGGATGGATTCACCAGAGCCTTCGGGGTGACCGAGGCCAGGGGCCCATCGGCGGCGGGCGTGTCATCAATAACTATGAGGGGGGCCGCCCCCTCGACGGCGCCCCCGGCGGCTTTCTGCTTCTTGGTGGGGGGCTCCACCCCCTTATCATTCCTCTTCTTCTTCACGGCCGCCTCGGGTTTCGACCCCCCGGTCCCCACGGCAGCATGGACGTCCCCGGCGGAGGGCTCTACGACCTTCGGAAAAAAGGCGTCGGCTGGCTTCTGGCCCGAGGGCCCCTTCTCCTTTGACTGGGTCTTGCCCTTCCTCTTTGCGAACAGGGCGTTGGCATTCATCCTGCTACCTGCAAAGAAACAACAAGTTAAAAGGTTAGAACCGAGGGGTCAGAGACACGACAACAAACATGACAGAAAATCTCAAAGTACAAAAATGTAAAGCCCCCGGCCACTACCTCCTGCTCCCACGAAGGCTTTATCATAGAGGGGATACTTCTCATCGGTCTCCCCAATGAACCGATACCTCAGAAATCCGAGGGCATACAGGTCTTCCTCGAGGATGCACTCCTTGATGGTTATGTTCTTATCCCGACCCTCCAGAATCTCGGCAATCTTCAGGCCATCCTTCTCGAGGGCGGCACTCTTGACCTTCACATGACGCCGAAAGCAATTCCGCAACTCCCTCGGGAAAGGGCTGTCGGCCAATCTGATGTAGCACCATCGCTCTCTCCACCCCTTGTTGGAGGAAGGGGCCTCGGTGAACAGTTTGAACTGGGCTATCTGCTGTAAGTTCGCATAGCCCTCGGCATTGGTATGGCCCCCCGGCATAGGTTAAAGCTTTGGAAGAATAACTCCAAGCTCGGTGTAACCCCCCGGAGTTTGCACAGGTTCACAAACCCAGCTATGTATGAATGGCTATTGGGGGTCAATTGGCAAGGAACCAGGCTAGTGTACCTCAGGTACTCCCGAAGGAACGGATGGAGAGGGAACCGGAGGCCCATTGAAACCGAGAGCACGTGCACGGCTATACATCCCTCGAGAGGCCGGGACAGCACGTCATCAGGACCCGGCTCGACTACTACGGTCGAGGGCCCTACGTGCAACTGGGTGATGTAGATGTCCGCCCTGTCAGCTTGGGACTTAATCTCCAGAGCGGCGGTGTCCATGAAGGAGTAACCCTCTGGTAGATCAACTGGCCCCCCTTGATCGACGGCCCTTACTTTCTTCTGGGTGCCAGCCTTCGTCTTCCTCTTCTTCTTCCCGGGGGCCACCCGGATGGGAACTGCATTCAGCGGCTGGGAAGTACTGGCCTCACCAGCACCCCGAGGGGGAAGGACGGCCACAGTGACCTTCGCCCTCTCCTTCTCCTCTTCCTCCTCAGCAATCTGGACGACGAGGGCCAACTCCTCATCTTCCGCGGTCCGCTCGAATTCCTCCGCCTCCGCCTCGGCCATCAGATCCTTCTGCACCTCAGTGGCGAGGGCTGCATCACCACCATCCGAGGGCTGAGCGCTACTGGACTCCACGTCGGAGATGCCTTCGTCCTCCATCGAGGGCGTCCTCGAGATGTCCTGAGAGTCACTCTGGGACGACATTCTAACTCTAGCTCGAGGTTTCGGGGGAACTAAGGTTTCTAGGGAACTCTATCTCCTAACCCGAGGGCGCAATGTATAGCTATACTAGAAGGAGAAAGGCAGGGAGCACTGACCTCGAAAGCTGAGTTAGGACCAAAGGCTTGAGTTTCTCTCACTAGATTTTTTGGCAGAGCTTCGCTAAGACAACTGAGTTCGCACAACGGGGAATGGCCCTGGCCTTGGGGTATTTATAGGCGATGGAATCCGGGCTTGGGCCTGGATTCCGGGCCTCCGGATGGACCGCCATCATTACACATCGCGTCCTCACCCAACCAGTGATGCCGCCCACGGACAGCCAGCCATCACGCGCCACGTGTTCCCCCCCCAACGGCTATAAAGCTGACGCTACATATTCCAACGGCTATATTCCCAACGGCTATATTCTGGAAGCCCCCGGGTTTTTTGATTCACTCCACTTCATCAAGGACAGCCTCCGGGTACACTTACCCAGAAGCGCCCCCGGGTTGTGCCCCACACAGCGCATAACTGACGCCTTCGGGATCACTCCCTCAGAAACCCAGGGTTTCATATCAGGGCACCCCTCGGGGATTCCCCCCTCAGCGCTGCAAAACCGGGTAGCCCCCGGGGCGTTACCTCATTGACGGATAACCCATGGCACACTGGTAATGGGAGCCCTCGGGTATCTTCATCACCAAGTAATCAACAAACAATGGACCCCCCGGCGACAGTCAAATTACTGCCCTCATCCAGCAGACCCTCGATCCCCGGATTGAGGGGCTCCCCTTCGGCGCCACCAGGACATCAATAGCAAGCCTTCGGCTAATCAACACGGGAGCCCTCAGAAGGAAGAACCTTCGGCATTACCGAATTCTCCATTTTTGACCAAGGTTTGACATTTTCGATTCATCATTGGGGGAATTCGGTGCACTCTTTTTCCCTCATTAGGATTTTTTCCCCCAGGGTTTTTCCTAATGAGGTTTTTAACGAGGCATCCCCCCAAAATGAAACGAAAAGCGTCAGCCTTCGGCCCACAACAGCAACGCAACTACTCTACTCCTTTTCACCACTTTACAAGTGCCTCAAGGAGTGGGGGACTGGAGGACCCCCTCGGGAAAATCATTAAATTACAAAAGATGTAGAAATTCCAACAAACAACAGAGCAAGCCCTCAAGTCCCGACATGTGGGTAACTGAGGGACTGCCTTCGGCAGGGACATAAAGCAACAACTCCTCACCAACTTCAGAGATCACGACGGGACAACATCAAGGGGCAAGCACAAATTACTCCTTTTCCCTCAAGTACCTTTCGGCAAAAGGAGTGAGGGACTCCTGATGGAGTATATGGCCCGGGAACCCCCGGCCCACAGACTCCTACTACTCCAGCGAAGGCCCAAAAGGCCCAACAGGCCCAAATCACAGCGCCCAGAGTACCAGGCAGTCCACACTACGCGCCAGGGGTGCCTTCGGCCCCCTGGCCGAAGGCTCCGAATTCTCACAGAACGGGTTTCTCAAGCAAATTAAGAAACTGGGAGAAAACGGCGAAAACAGTAGCCCTCGGCATTGTGAGCCCTCGGCACCAGGGTGCCATCGGGTGGAAGAGCCCTCGGCTACTGCTCTATAGCCGAAGGCATCTCGCTCGACAAGGTATCCGCCTCACATGCGTACAGATCACCATAGACGTCCCATCCAACAGCCGCATTAAATGCGGCCACATGCGGCTGTCAGCGCCAACCAGTTGAGGTGACCCCTCGGCCAATGAGCGCTTGACACGTGTCCCTGCCCGGCATTTATTGCTACTATAAATAGCACCCCATTTCCTCATTTGTAACCACACTTAATACATATCGAATATACACTCTCTCTCTTACTTATTTGCTCTGACTTCTCTCTAGTTATTCTCCGCAATAACCCTTCGGATATATACCCCCGGGTAGACTATCCATCAAAATATTAGTTTATAAATTATCTATCTCCTTATTTAAATGATTTTGTACAATTTTGGTAAGTTTTTCTCAGTAATGTCAAGGAGGTCGTCTATATGTAAACATTGTAGTTGACATTGTTAAAAAAATTTACCAAAATTGAATAAAACCATTCAAGGAAAGAGATAATTTATTCATCAATATTAATGTGGATATCTTTCATGCCACATGTGCATCGTGCACATTTTAGCATTCAAGATACTCTTAGTGGCGTAAAGCGACGGAATCCTATCTGCCACAATTAATGACGGATTACGTCTGTCGCTGTTTAGGATTATGTTAGCATAAGGACATGTTTACTTCACGGGTTAGTAAACGGTGCTTATTAAGACTCGCATTAATAAGCGGCACATAAACTAAGCAGTGTTGTAAGCTCTTGTTTACTTCAAAGAATTTAAAACACCGTTTAACATTAAAATGTCCAAAATAACCCCATAGATATATACACACACAAACATTCATTAACACAGGTATATAATATAATATATGGGGTCACCTCGTACGCTTAGTCGCTTACCCACACCCCTAACCCCTACCCCGCCCTATACCCCCACCCCTCACCCTACCCCAAATTCCACACCCTTGACCCCCACCCCTTCCCTAACCCCTACCCTAACCACGACCTTACCCTCCACCCCTACTCCCACCCATACCAACCCCCCAACTCGTAGGGGTAGGGGTAAGGTGGGGTGGGGTATGGTTGAGTCAAGGGTGGGGGGTGGGGTAGAGGTGGGTCGAGGTAGGGGCAAGGGGTGGGGGGTCGGGGTAAGGGTCGAGTCAAGGTAGGGGAAGGTGGTAGGGGGTAAAGGGGTAGGGTAAAGGGTGAGGGTGGGGTATGGCAGGTGGTGGAGGGTACGAGGGTAGGGGTAGAGTCGGGGTAGGGAAAGGGGGTAGGGGTGGGGTCGGGATCAGGTCAAGGTAGGGTAAGGGGTAAGGGGTAAGGGTGAGGGTGGGGTGGGGTAGGTCAGGTGGTGGAGGGTAGGGGTAAGGTGGGGGTGGGGTATGGTCAGGTCAAAGGTGGGGGTAAAGGGGTAGGGGCGGATGTAGGTGGGGTTAGGGTCGGGTCAAGGTAGGGGAAGGTGGTAGGGGGTACAAGGGTAGGGGTAAGGGGTGGGGGTGGGGTAGGGCAGGTAGTGGAAGGGTCGGGTAGGGAAGGTAGGGTAAGGTCGGGTTGGGGTATGGTCGGGTCAAGGGTGGGGTGGGGTTGGGGGTCAGGGTGGGGTCAGGGTAAGGTAGGGTAGGGCAGGGTAATGGTCGGGTCAAGGGTGGGGGTGGGCGTAGGGGGTAAAGGGGTAGGGGCGGGGGTAGGGGTGGAGTCGGGTCAAGGTAGGGGAAGGTGGTAGGGGGTACAGGGGTAGGGTAAGGGGTGAGGGGGTGGGGTATGGTCGGGTCAAGGGTGGGGTGGGTGGGGGTCAGGGTGGGGTCGGGGTAAGGTGGGGTAGGGAGGGGTAGTTGGGTAGCAATAGGGTAAGGGCAAGGGGTAAAGGTAAGGGTAAATTCGGAAACTGAAAAAGCTTAAAGTGTCGCTTAATTAATACATGGGGGATGGTATGCTTAATAAGCGGCACTTTAAGCATCTCTTTCGGTTAGTAAGCAGCGTTTTAAGCAACTTGCGTGCTTACTTCACATGTCTTACTAACCTAACTGTGACTTTAGCAGCGAAGTAAACGCCTCCTAAATGTTGTGCTAATCCGCCATGATCGAGTATGGGACGGAAATTCATTTCGAAAAAGTAATTACGGAAGAATAAGGATATTGATTACTAGAGGTGCTTCATTAATTATTAATCAATCAAGATAAATAAAACTCCCTCCCTATTTAAAAGATTCATACGTTAGGTTATGACACAAGATTTAAGGGAGAATAGTAGAGGTAATGAGTAAAGAAAAAGTAGGAAAGAAGGTGAAAAAGCAAGAAAGAAAGAATGAAAAGTAGAAAAAATAAGGCTAATTGATTATTTTTAAATGAAAAACTTACAAAAAAGCGAACATGTATGAAACTTTTAAATACATCCCAAAACGGAAAGTGTATGGAACTTTAAAATACGGAGGAGTATCTGTCTTGCAACGTTAAATTAGGTACGTTTATCTGAACGGGAATTTTATGCACTTTTTATGCACATATATTTTGCAATTTCACCCGCATGCATGTTTTAATTTTTGTTTGGGAAATTCTACGGTGCATGTCTAAATTTCACATGTACAGTACATTTTTTATGTAGGCAAATAAAACAATGCCACATGGACATTAAAATTCATATATGTTTTAATTATTTTCTATATCATTCAGTTCGTTTACCGTGAGATCATCCCACGGTGAGCATGGTGCTCCACTCCCAAAACGACGTAGCTTTGCACATTTTTTTTAAAAAAATCGCGTGAACAGTACACGCGTGAAGAGTACACGTGTGTACAGTCACTTTTTTTTTGTCCCAGTAGCATGAATGGTGTAACTCGCGAGTATAGATATGTAACTTACGTTATTGATTAATGTAATTCAAGTGCATTCGAAATGTAACTTGTCGAATACATAGTATTAGAAATACAATATTGAATTCAATGTAAACAATGAAAAAAAAGAGTCTAATTTCACAATTGCTTTAGGTAAATCGTGATTATGTTTTGTTTTTAATATCATGACCATAAAAAATAATTATTTAAAAAATATTTTTTTTTGTTTCAATAACAGGTGTTGATTTTTAATGTAACTAGTGTTATTACAAATGTAACTCGTGTTGATGGCAAATATAACTTAGATGTATACAGAATGTAACTTGATGAAAAATTGAACAATTTTTTTTGTGTGTGTTTGAGAATTATATATATGTCATAAACATTGATTTCAATGAAAACAATGAAAGATTGATCCTAATAGCTTAATTACTTTTTTTAAATAGTGAATATGTTTTATGTTTAATATTAAGGTTATAAAAATGATATAGCAGGGGTTTATTCCGTGGTGTAACTCACATACATTAAGATGTAACGCACGTACAAAAAGATGTAACTCGTGCAGAAGAAGATGTAACTTCATGATATATTATCAAATGTAACTTCAAAATCAAAATAAACAAACTCAATGTCTTAAAAATCTCTAAATATATATAAAAGTGATAAAAAAAAGTTATAAAAAGTTTGTCCATATAAAAAATATAACAAAAAAGTGTATGAATATAAAAACTATATTACAAAAAAATATATGAATATAAAAATTAATACAGAAACAAAAATAGTGTATGAATATTAATTGCAATATACTTATTTTATTTAGATTAATAAACTTTTTTGTATGCATTGATAAAGAATAACAAAAATAGAAAAGAATTATGAAATTATGAAATACTACGTACAATATACTTATTTATGTGGATTAATAAAATTTTGTAAAAATTATGTAAAGAAAAAATGTAAATTCAATTATATTTTAATTAGTTAAAATAAAGATAAGTAAAATCATAAATAAATTTTTAGTATTTTGATGTAAAAGAGAAAAGAATTGAAGAAAATATAAAGAAATAAAGAAAGAAAGCACTAACTAGATGAAAAAGAAAGAAATCACTAACTCGATGAAAAAGAAAGCTTTCATAATGAGTTTAGGGAGGGGGAAAACGACACCGTGTTAGGATCGACATACCATGCTCATGATATGCCGATTGCACGGTATAATTTAGTCCCTTACTTTCAGATGGTTCATATTTAACGCGTGACCATTATCCCCTCACCACCCTGAATCCTTCCGGCCAAAATTCCGGCAAATTTAGTCCACTTCTCAGCCTCAAAATCAGTCTTTCAATTTAATTTTGTATCAGGTTGGGTTTTACATATCAGTCTTTGCATTAAATTTGGTTTTTCATACCTAAAATATGCATTAAATTTGCCGGAATTTTGGTCGAAAGGACGAAGGGTGGTGAGGGGGTAATGATCACGGACTAAATGTGGAAAATCTGAAAGTAAGGGACTAAATGTGGAAGTGGTATAATAGTCATCGAACCAAAAGTAGAATTTTTTGATAATTTGCCTATATCATTGGTCCATGTAGGATGCTATCAAATTAAGGGATGCACCATAAAAACTTCCTTGTTTTGTTTTCCTTATTATCTTTCCTCAAGCCATGTTTGCCAATCGTTAATTTCTAAGGACTAAATAGCAAATAAAAACAATATTGTTGATTATATTTCACTTCTGGCAGAATTTAGTTAAATCCGTATATATAGAGTCCGTACGTATGAGGCTGATCTAATTACTCCCAAGAGAATATTGCGGCTAATTATCCTCTTCCTCCCATGGAGGTTCCCTACCCGAATAATCAGCCATCTCTGTCTACTCCGGCGGGAAATGTTGCCGGCAGCGGCGAAACTCACCCCACCGCCGCCGCAGATCCTTTCAATTTACCTCCTGGTTATCGCTTTTGCCCTACTGACAAAGAGCTCGTTCTTGAATATCTCAAGAAGAAGTTACTGGACAAGGATTTGCCTCCCAACCGAATTGTGGAAGTGGAACTCTACAAGCAAACCCCAGATCAGCTTTCCAGTCAGTTTTACTTTGAATATATTATTCATAATGTATTATCTACTACGTATAATATATATACTTATAAAGAATTATATTTATTTATAATGTATTAGTATGCGTATAATTTATGCATGTTCAAGAACCCTAATCTCTATTTTCATGAATCCTAATTTTTATAAACCCTGAGGTATATTATTTGTGTTTCTTTGTTAAGTACTTTTAATATTTATATATGCATTATATTGAATATTCGATCATTATGTATAAACGGAAATATGTATATATTTTCAAGAATTCAAGAATTCTGTAGAAGGCTATTTTCAAGAATTCAAGAATTCATGCCATTGAATAGTTTGCCTTCATCAATCATATTCATGATAATAATCATGATGTAAAACAAATCTTATTAATCTTTGTTTTGAAGCTTGAACATGCATGAAATAGAAAATTAAATATATTCAATGGTAAATATTTCTCCAACTATCATCAAATTCTCAAATATATCTCATACTTTCACTTTTATTAAAAAAAGACCCAAATTTCAACTTTTTTCACAATTACACTTTTAATGGATGAATTAGTAAAACTTAATAAAAAAATCATATTAATATTTCACAGCTTTTATTTATTTCTAGCTTTAAGTTTACAAATATGTATGACTTACTATCATATACGAAGTATCGTACTGGTGTGGATAAAAATGTGTAATTTTGAAAAAAAAACATAAAAGCATAATTGTTGAAAAAGATCAAGTTTGAGTCTTTTTTATAAAAAATCAAAGAATATGATAGATTTGTGAATTTAATGATAGTTTAGGATAAAATAAGCTAATATAATCCATATTTTATATCTTTGGACTACAATCTGTACATACACTATTCTTATGATATACTTCGTAATCCGTAATAATAGTACGTACTCGTCTTTAATTATACTACGGAGTACTATATAATACTACTATGCTCGTTGTTGGACTGGATAAAAGTTTGTTAATTAATTCTTCCAAATTAAATAAATATGTATGTATATATATGCAGCTAACAATGCAATGGTTGGAGAAAACGAATGGTACTTTTTCACACCGAGAGACAAAAAGTACCCGAATGGAACCAGACCGAACCGAGCGGCTGGGAGTGCCGAGCCTGGGTCTACAAATGGGTACTGGAAGGCAACCGGAAAGGACAGAACCATTCAAGACGGGAAGACGACCATAGGCTTTAAAAAGTCTTTGGTCTTCTATGAAGGAAAGCCACCAAATGGCACAAAGACCTCGTGGCTGATGCATGAATATAGAGTCGATGCCCCAATATCAATAACTGCGAAAGTCAAGTGCCCAAGCATGAGGGTAACTAATTAAATTCGTATTATATGCTATATAGTCGAGAATAATGCATGCATGAATAACTATAGTACTATCAATTCAAGCACGTAAACTTTCGGGAAAGAGTACATTTTGTTTCGAGAAATCGAAAACTCTATGGCATTTCCCGTTTCTCGATGATTCAATTCCGGGCCACGTTTCCGTGCAACATATGTTATGTAGATACTAATTAAGGGCATTATTTGTGAATCGATGTTTTGTTTTGTTGTAGTTGGATAAGTGGGTGCTTTGCAAGATCTACAAGAATAAAGCCTCCTCCGGAAAGAAAGATGCAGACAAAGAAGTCTCGAAAGCCAACTCAACATATGAACTTATTCAGAGTCGTATCCAGCCACTCTCCTACTATCATGATGACATGGATTACTATCTCAGATCGTTCCAGTAACCCTGCATTGACTATGATAATGCCTGCGTAACAGTTTGCTAGATGTAGTGAATTAGGTTTAAATCAGTGATCCCCCCCCCCCTTGAGTTTCTTAAGCTGCTTGTTTGCCAGCTATATAGGCTTAGAAGAATATTTGGTGTGCAATGTGATTAGGGATGGTCCATGTGTAGAACTGACACCGGACCGGGACCGGATCATTGTCTAAATGTGATGGACTGTTCTTTTTTCTCAACTTGTCAAATTGGGATAAATCTGTGCTTGCACAATGACATTAAGGATATACACATATTTCAAATAAAAAAATGAAATTAAGCATCAGATTTAAGGGGTGATTTCTCAAATGACGGGAAACCATTGCCTGGCCTTCCAAAATACGGGAATTTTTTTAGGTTTTCTGAAAATACGAGTAACGGGGTTGGCTAATCCGAAAACTTTAGGGTTGGCAGGGGAATGCTAAAAAACGGATTCCTCTAATCCGAAATAAGCTTTTAATTTTTTTTATTGAAAAACTTGCTTTGTACGTACATAGGCGGTACATTATAAATTTGAGTAAGTGAGTAAATAATGAGTACAACTGTATAGTACATTATTACGGAGTATTTTGTTTAGCTACGTACACTTTTTTTTAAAACATGCTATATATACAAATAATTCAATATAAATTTGTTAGTGAATTATTTTTATGCACCCAAAAATAAGGATTTTTTCAAAAAGTAAAGTTTGACCGATTTAATTTATTGTTGCAATCACTTTTGTAATCGAGGTATATTTTATATTTTATGATGAGGTGTTCTGAGTTTAATTGATTTGGATAATATGTACAAAAGTAAATAAATTTAGTGATATTTATAGTTGGAAAGACATGTATTATTTTATTAAATAAGAAATAATCAATTGTTATGTTAGAGATTGTAATAGTGAATATACATATTCAATTATATTGTATTACGAATTTATTCAATGTTCCCGCAAAATTAAATAATATAAATATTTCATTACTCATTTTTCTTGAACAACAACATGACAAAGAAATACAAATTTTTATTCATTGAAAAAGAGTTACAAAATACATATAAATTTTTACTCTTGTGCTCTCCTACTCGTACGCATATCCATTTCATTTGTAAATCGTGTCCTTTGAGGCCTACCGGTTTGACTGCGTCGAGCACTTTGAGGCGGTATCACTACATATCCGGTATCAGGCATCGCACTTACGTCATGCATAGGCATAATATCTGTAGCATACGTACGGATGTACGCACCTAATTTATACACGTCCGGGATGAGATGATCTACAGTTATTTCTAAGAAATGGCATGTTGCATAGGCGTGCACACATGGAAATCCATTTTGCTTCCAAAAACCGCAATCACATTCGCAACGTGAGAGATTTACCGTTACCGGCGGATAATCACGGATGGAAGCAGAGTATATTCCCGTTGTTCGGTTATGCGGGACAATAGTGCACTGATGTCTTTTCTGCGAACGTTCAAGAATATCTTTCCATATATTTTGCGGATATAGGAACCCAGCTTGCCGCCACATCTGACCGGCCCTACGTCGATCGGCAAATAACTGGACAACTTTGGTATAAGTTGCCTTAACCAGCGCGGTGATTGGAAGTGTTCGACATCCCTTTAGAACGTTATTGAAGCTCTCAGAAAGATTTGTTGTGAGGATGCCGTAACGTCGTCCATCGTCGAAGCACAGTGCCCAATTTTCACGTGGAATAGCGTTCAAATACATGAACGCATTCTCATTCGTAGCACGAATTTGAGCCATTGTTTGGTAAAATTCACTCACCATGGGTGTACTCCCGGCCTTCCAACAGAGCTTTTTCAGTTCAGTGCTCCTGAATTTTGTCATGAAATTGCTTCTAATGTGTCGGAGGCAGAACCGCTTCGAAACTTGGGAGGTTTTCAATTGAGGTACTGATTGATAGGCACTTAGGATGCCAGGGTGTCGATCTGATATTATGCACACATGCCGATTTGGTCTGACAACATAAGTCATAATGTGTTCCAAAAACCAGGACCAACTATTTGTGTTTTCACTTTCCACAACTGCGTACGCGAGAGGGAAAATCTCACGGTTAGCATTCATGGCGACTGCAACCAAGAGATGACCCTTGAACTTTCCGTACAAGTGAGTACCGTCAACAGATACTACGGGCAGACAGTATTCAAACCCATCAATGGAAGCTTTAAAAGCCCAAAATGCACGATGAAATTCATACGTACCATCATGACTGGTTGGTTTTGGTTGGAAATCTACCACTGACCCCGGATTTGATTCTCTTATCGCAAGCAACAAATTGGGTAAATCATTGTAGGCCGCCTCCCAGTTCCCGAATCTTCGTTCAAGGGCAATCAAACGTCCATACCATGCCTTTTTGTACTTGACATTGATTCTGAATTTGTCGTGTATGTCTTGCATCACGAGTTTAATGCTGTAGTCCGGATCAACATGCACTTTTGTAGCGATTACACTCGCTATGATCTTGCTCGTCATAAGCCTGTCATTACGGGCTCTTTTATAATCCACTCTGCAGTTGTGTAGTGGTTGATATTTTTTCACCTTCCACAAATTGGTGTTGAGAAGGTTTCCCGCCTGAATGTGCCACATACACATGTCATCATAGATGCAAACTGCCTTCCACGATCTCACACGTTTGTCTTCTGTCATAAAAATTCGAAATTGCCGAATATTTTCTTATGCTACGGCTTCTTTCAGTAATAGTTTCATTATCACGATTCGCTGGTTTAACATATGGTTGTTCCAGCTCAATATCGGCCCATGTTGTGTCATGAGCGTCATCACTATCGTCAGAATTTGTTGTTGCATCGTCATTTCCAGAAAATTGTTCATAATCTGGATCATCTTCCTCTTCATATGCTGTTGAAGGGCCATCTTCATGTTCAACAGTATGCGGGTTGTAGCGTCCGCCGTATCTCGTTGATGGTCCGTCATCGTTGGAGTGGATATTGTGAAAGGTTTCACAATTGTGGGTGTCACCTCCTCCATATGTTGATTGTAAGGAATATTTGTATTTAGATTTTGATGATGCTAGATTAATTAGGACTTTAGAGTACCCCTTTTATACTTAATGTATTAGAATTTTCACTTGTAAAGTTCTTAGTGTAATCGACCTGGCAGAATGCCTTCAGGGCAGAAGACCTTCTGAGCAGAAGGGCTCCAAGAGCAGAAGACCCTCGTAAGGCTTTATTGAAACAGAGGACCTTTGGTTCTCTGCTCCAGAACAGAAGACCTCAAGGTCTCTGTTAGGCTTTACTCTGACAGAAACCCTTCTGGGTCTCTGTTGGAAATATTCTCAACAGAAGTACTCCAGACCTCCTCTGTTCAACTATCAGTTAAAGACACCAGAAGGTCTGACACTTAGAAGAATTCCACAGAACCGGGAAGTCAACTAAAAGATTCCTTCAACGGCTAGGAGTATTGAACAGAAAAGCTACAGTACGCGCATTGAATGCTCATTTAATGCACCCCATGCTCCGTAGAGTAATTGCAGATGATTGGCCGAAATGTCAGGAATTCTTTATCCCAAAATAGTAACCCGCCAACTTTACCGGGCTCTACTAGTCAAGTCAACTGATCGCTCATTTAATGCAGTTGTCCTCCTACTCCTCCAACGGGAAGACAACCTCAGTATAAAAGATACACTACGAAGAACAACCGGATAACTTTGCAACTTTTGCTAATCATTGCTACAAATCTTCATACAAGAAATTCAAACTCTGAAAAAGCAAAAAGCCTCCTTGAGATTAACACTTCATCATCTTCTACAAGAGAAGGCAGAAGTTGGAAAAATACTTTTTCCAACTCAAGCAAAGTTCCAAGTGTTCTTCAACTCTTCAAGCTCATCACATACAAATCCTTTGTAACGAAGCTAGTTGGAGGAACCCCTGTGTTAACAGAAACCCTTCTTGCTACAAGAAGGACGTCCAAGTAACTGAAGTAGTGAAGTGGTGATACTTCCAGGAAGCTCAGTGAAAGGACCAGTCTTAAAGGAAGCCAGACAGTGCATCCCAGGAGACATCTAGGCTTGAAGAAGACGTGGAGAGCTTCTTAAGTGCTAGGACTAAGGCTTTGTAAACGGAAGTTTTTACAGCTTAGTGGAACAGTGGACTAGAGGAACAAGTTGTTCCTTGAACCACTATAAAAATCCCTGGTGTCATTTACTTACTGCTTTAATATTTGCACTTAGGTAGAACTGTCTAACTCCTCAGACTTGGTATCTGTGTTCAGCAGAACTTTTCCTACGAGTTAACAGAAGGCCTACTGCCTTTGCTTCTCTGAGGCTAAATCAACAGAACTCCCTACCAGAACCCCATCCGCTGCCAGTCTGTTCTGTCAACAGAACAGGCTATTCTGTAAAATCTGGTACTTAGTTTAAAAGGCTAAAAACCAATACAGTCTATTCACCCCCCCTCTAGACTGTATCCAGTACAACCGGGACCAACAAGTGGTATCAGAGCCTCCTTGTTCTAATAATCTCTTAGGTTATTTGCTGAACAAAGATCCACTTGTTTTTCTGTTTGACCTCATTTCTATCTGATATAATGGATTACTCCTTGTCCAAGAATCTTATGTTTTCAGATCTTAAGTTTGATGACTGGAGGATAAGGATGAAAGCACATCTCTGTGCTCTGCATGATGAGATGTGGGAAGTTCTAGATATTGGCCCTTTCACAAGCTTCCAGAAGGTCAATCCTGAGCATGCTATTGACAACACCAGACCCCAGATGATCAGTAAAGCCAAGTCAGAATGGACCACTGAAGAAAGAAGAAAGTACAACCTAGACAATATTGCTAAGGACATCCTCTACAAGTCCATTGATGATAGGTACTTCAAAAGAATAAAGAAGTGCAAAACTGCAAAGGAAATCTGAGATACTCTTGAGCTCATTGGAGCTGGTGATGAGCAAGAGAAGGACAACAAACTGACTATAGCCAACAAGAAGTTTGATGACTTCAAACTTCTCCCTGGTGAAAGCATCTCCAAGATGTATGATAGGCTCCTCACTCTCACTGGAGAGATCTCTGAGCTTGGCAAGGAACTCACCACCAAGGAGATCAACCTAAAGGTGTTGAGGGGACTGCCCTCAGCATGGAAGATGAAGGTGGTTGCTGTCCAAGCCAGCAAGGATGTAAAGACTTATCCCACTGATAAGCTCATTTCAGATCTCAAAGCTCATGAGTTTGAAATGACTGAAGAAAAGGAAGAT